AATATTTAATAAAAGCATAAGGTTGTTTTACTGGGTAAAAGAATGACTAGGTAGGAGGAGAAGTGGATACCAGAAGGTTCTCTTTTCCACTCTCCACCCCTAACTCCCATGCTCCTCTTTGAGGGCAGTGACATTGCATCTTACACTTGTCTGAGCCAGGTTCCTTGAGAACCGCCTGTATCTTGGCCATGTTCTACTCTGGAACACACCTAGAGCTGGGGTGCCCTGTAACAGATGCTTAAGTGAACAAAGGAATTTCAGGCAGCCCAATTTGTGCTGGTTGGTTCAGGCACCTGGAAACAGCTATTTCATAAAGAGGCGGCCTCAAACTCTTCCCTCGAACAGCCTCAGTCAAGTGAATGTTTCTATAGGGTGGTCTGGGGAAATAGCTTTAAGTAACTAGAAATTTCCTTGAAGGCCCATGTTTGTTTTTTTCCTAAAATTCCTGAAAATTTTGTATCTACTCTGATAAAGTTCTCGGTTGGTTTTGTTTCCAAATAATGCTAATAATACACATTTATTTATCAGTTTATCCTTTGTTATTCGATCTTCTCCCAAAAGTCTTGAAATACAATGTACACCTCTGAAGGGGGCCCATCACAGGAAGACATGTTTCTGATGTGAGTTCATTTTTTTAAAAATATGTATTTATTTATACAAGAACTAGGATATAGGCCAGAAATATAGGGTTGAGAGGAATTTACCTGAGACAGAGTGGGAAGCAGAACAGGCAGATTGACTGAAATACACTGCTGAGGGGACTCCCATGCTCCTCCTTGAGGGCAGTGACATTGCATCTTACACTTGTCTAAGTGTATAAGACAAGGCAGATGGAGGAAAGAAAGCAATATAATCCAGAACAAGGTGTCCTTGAGGATGAAGGAAGTTGGCCACAAGCCAAATAATGCAAGGAATGTAGTTCTAGAAGCTGGAAAAGGTAAGAAATTGGTGCTCCCTGGCCCCTTTGGAGGGAGGGCAGCTCTGCTGATACCTTGATTTCAATCCCAGGACATTCAATCAGGGTTCTGACCTCCTCCGGAACCTTAGAGGGAGCAGTGGGCAGGTCATGCCACGTGGGTCACTTCCCTGCCTGGGGATTGAACTCATGCTGCAGTGGCTGCGGATAGCTTCCTACTGCTGTGCTTTAAACCTTTGCACCACCAGGGAGGGCCTGTAGCATAATTTTCTGATTAAATAAGAAAATAAAACGAAAAGGGCTTTGGAGTCATGCAGACCTGGGTTGGAATCTTGCTTATATTACTTATTTATTCTGACTTTACACAAATGACCTCTCTAAACTTTAGTTTCCCACCTCTTATTTGGAGATGGAAAGAATAATGTTAGCTTGTTGTGGGCATTGAGTCAGTGGTAGATAGTGAGGGCTCAGATAAATAAGTGGGCCAGAGACCCAGACTGGTGCACAGGTGATTATAGGCCAATGTGAGAAGTGCTATTGGGAAGTGGAAGGCACCCAGTCCTGTAGGAGCCCCTCAGTGGACATTGGGGAACCTTCCAGAAGGTACTGACAACTAAGTTGCCAGTTGAAAGGAGATGGGAGAGTCGAGAAGCAGAGGGAAGCTGAGAGAGAGGCCTCAGATCCTGATGGGGAAGCAATGATGGGAAGTGAGGCTGTAAATGGCAGGCACAAGTGGGTCATACAGAACCAAAGAGCCTTGGAAAGAAATCTGGCTTTTATCCAGAGAGCAGTGAGGGCCACTGAAGAGTTCTATTTTGTTTTTAAAGATTTATTTATTTGTGCATACAGAACTGGGGTGCAGGCCAGAGGCACAGGGGTGGTGAGAGGCTTCACCAGAGACAGAGTGGGGAGCAGAACAGGCAGATCGACGAAGTACATTGCTGAGGGGAGCAGCGGGCGGGTCAGGAGAGGTCTGCCTTGCCATGTGGATCTCCTCAGGGGCAGGCGGGGATCGAACTCATGTGGAAGTGGCTTTAGCTTCTCAGTGCTGTGTTTTAACCTGCTGAGCTACCAGGGAGGGCCTCTATTTTTTTTTAAAGATTTATTTATTTATGCATACAGAACTGGGGTGCAGGCCAGAGGTGCAGGGGTGATGAGAGGCTTCACCAGAGACCAAGTGAGGAGTAGAACAGGCCAATGAAGTACACTGCCCAGGGCGCAGCGGGCGGGTCAGGAGAGGTCTGCTGCGCCAGGTGCTTACCTCCCAGGATGGGAATCAGAATCATGCTGAAGTGGCTTTAGCTTCTTAGTGCTGTGCTTTAACTCGCTGCGCCACCAGGGAGGGCCGCCAATGAAGAGTTCTAACTGGGGGAGAAATAAGTGGGATGGGGGAGTCCTGGATGGCAGTGCCTTCGAAAAAGCAGACACTGAGAAGAAGCTAGGGCCAAGGTACAAAGCATTGAGTTCCGTTTTGGCCGTGACCTTTGAGTGTCTGTGAAACAGCCAAGTGAAAACATCCCGTATCCTGGGTACATCGATCTAAACCAGAGCAGGGTAGAGGCTGGAGACAGAGCCTGGAAGATGTGACAGACCTACTAATAGTCCCCAAAGACATCAAGGTCCTCACCCTGCAACTTGTAAGTGAATTTCATTTGGCAAAAGGAATTTTGTGGATGTGATTAAGTTAAAGCTCTCGAGATGGGAAGATTATCTTGGTTTTTCCGGGTGGGAGCTAAATGTAATTACAAATGTGTGTATAAGACAAAGCAGATGGAGAAAAGAAAGCAATATAATCCAGAGCAAGATGTCCTTGAGGATGAAGGAAGTTGGCCACAAGCCAAATAATGCAAGGAATGTAGTTCTAGAAGCTGGAAAAGGTAAGAAATTGGTGCTCCCTGGCCCCTTTGGAGGGAGGGCAGCTCTGTTGATACCTTGATTTCAATCCCAGGACATTCAATCAGGGTTCTGACCTCCTCCGGAACCTTAGAGGGTAAATATGTATTATTCTAAGCCACCAAGTCTGCTGTAATTTGATATAGCAATAATAGGGAATTAATACAGAAGTCATCAGCCTTCATGGTGTAAAGGAAGTTGGGGGGTTGGAGCAAGGTGTGGGTAGAATGAGAAAAGCAGGGGTTCAAATTTGAACCCAATGAGTTCAAATTTAAGACAGCTGCGGGGGTGAGGCGGGAGGAGGTCCACGTAGGGGAGGACCCCAGGAGGAGCAGCCTGAGAGGGAGGGGACCACCAAGGAAGGTGGTTGTCCCACAATTCAAGGGAAAGGGCTTTTCAGGAGGGTTAATGGTGTCAAACACTCCTAGGAAAGTACCTGCTGCACTTTAAGAGGAGATCCTGGGTGACCTTGAAAGAACTCTGGACTAGTCAGGGCTGAAAACCCTCCGGAGTGGGTTGACGGGTGGAGGAACTAGGGGCCAGGCTTGTTTCCCAGCCTACTTGTCTGTATCCTCCATGGGAGAAAGAGACACATTGCTTCAACATTTAATGCTATTACACAAGTGGAGCACATTCCTTACTGGAAAGTTAGAATATACAGATTTGCCAAAAGAAAAACATTACTCATAACAGCCTCTGCTGGTAGCATTTCAATGTATTATCTTTTTAATTTTTTTTTTTTCTGTGTAAACTGTGTAATCCTCTCAATCACTTTACAGGGTAAAATACAATTCGGTCATTTTAAAAGGAGGAAATTCAGGCTGAGAGAAGCAAGCAATTTACCCAACTACATACAGCTGACCAGCAGCAGTCTCAGGACCCACACTTAGGTCTGCTTCACTCTGAAGCTAATGTTCTTCACCATGGTGCGGCCCTGGTTTGTTACTGTTGTATTTATTTCTTTTTTCACTTGAAGGAAACCTCCAAAGGACCCAACGCTCCAGAACTAAGCCTAAGTGGATTTCGATCCCAAACCAGCTCCCTCCTCCATCCGGAAGGCTGGGTTAGTGGGTGGGGAGGGGTGGCAGTCTTTAGGATGAGGCAGGTGGAAAGGCCCCAGACCTGGCCCTGGAAGAGAGAAGCAAAGGTAACAGGGCCAGGAAGGGGGAGTCGTTACTGAGCACCTATCCGGCGACATCTACCTATTGGGTTCTTTCCTTGCAACCTCAACAACCAACTGGAATCAGACTTCCCATTTTGCAAGTACGGGAACTGAGGTTTCAAGAAGGGATGTAATTTCCCCCAGTCACACAGGGTCTGAGCCATGCAGACCCCGGAGTAGGGCATGCGGGACGATGCAGGGACCAGGTGGGTGGCCCACAAGGCGCGCAGACCCCAGGCTGAGGGGAGGAGGGCGCGGGACTAGGGAGAACTGGGGCAACTCGGGGCGAGGAGACTGGCAGGGCTGGAGGAGCGACCGGAACCGGGTAAGAATCGGGCTCAAGACACGAGGTCCTGGGGGCCGGGAACGACTTGGTAGGAGAGGAAAAGGAAAGACACTCGGGAGACGCCGGGCTGGGGCACCGGTGGGCTCTAGGGGCACTTGGAAGGAGGCGGGGCTTGAAGGAGGCAAGGCCTGGGGGCGCGGCCCACCAGCCGGGTGAGGGGGCCCTGGGCAGGGCAATGAGCCAAAGGCGGAGCTTTCAGGGGCGGGCGGCCTAGGGGCGGGGCCTTGCCGACTGGAGGCGGGG